TGATGCAAAAAAAGCCACAAAAGTGGCTGGAAATCTTTGATTAGGGGGTATAGTAACCCCCCAAACAGTTTCCCTAAACATTGGAACAAAAAAAAGACCATTTTGCCCCTCCCTGAGGGGCAAAATCGAAAAAAATTTCATGGAAACCGATGCGGGCGAGATGCGGTCTGATGCGGCCATGATGGGGATGCGGCCATGATGCGGCCATGATGTGGCCTAATGTGGCCATGATGCGGCCTGATGCGGCGCATATGCGGCCGCATATGTCAAAAGCGCATATGCGCCTGAACGGGATGCGGAAGCGAGCGCATCCCGCATGATGTGGCCGCATATGCGGCGATGCAACCGTATTTTAAAACACTGGTACCAGACCATAAGAAATCACGCATATGCTTCTCAAGGCGATGAATAACAGAGATGGGAATTTGAAAGAGGGACATATGGTAAATTGGGATGTTGGCGAGAGTGGCTTTGACAAGGGTGAGTCTTCCCCTAAACTCACATTAATCTCTTCCTAAGAAAATTCCTAAGTTTCTTTCCTAATAAAATTTTGAAGACAGCTAAATCCCCTAAAATTAGGATTCTCTTATCTACAACCTCAAACAAAGTATATCCTAACTCTCATAAAAAACTTCCTATTTTGCCCCTTAAATCTCTACAAGGAAGAAAAGACAAAAATAACCCAACACATAAAATCTGAAAGGGAAAATTTCATATAGAACCCTAATTCTTCATATTATTTCATGATAGACCCTCCTTCCATTTTTCTTTCAAGCGGCATAAAGAAACCCCTAAAGATCACCCCCTCATCTCTTATCTCCCTCTTTTATTGACTTTTAACAATAAAAATTAACCCCAACAAATCTTTTTATACCATTTCAACCTAATAACTTTTTTAACCCTCTTTTTCCCTTTCCACTCATTAAAAAAAAATTTGAGTTGAAATGGTATAAAAAGATTTTTTGGAGTTAATTTTTACGATCAAACGTCAATAAAAGAATACGATAAGAGATGAGGGGGTATGGTGAAATCTTTTGGGGTTTCGTTGTGCCGCTTGAAAGAAAAACGGAATGAGGGTCTACCATGAAATAATATGATGAATTAAGGTTCTATTCGAAATTTTCCCGATCTTAAAATAGCAAACTAAACGAACAAACAAAACCCACAGCATCAGATTCTTGGGAGTTATCTTGGATTAACTTTAGGCCTGTTTGTGTCCATTTTGACCTGCTTTAATCATGCTCTTTTAGTTTTTTGTAACTGACCCTAGAGCTCATGGCTTTTATTTGAGAGGTCCACTATCACCCAATTTGAGGAAGCTCCATGTTTGGGCCCAAAGTATGTTTGTTTGAAGGCCCTTCTACCACTTTCCCTATTTCCAGCAGTTCCCGACATACATGTTACCGAATTCCTAGGGCAGACAACCTCGTATATTTGCAATTTGTGAGCTATCTTTGGTCAAGAACCATCATCTACCCCACCTTTTAAGGGTTTTTATTAGGGAAGACGAGGCCCGAATGCCACCCCCCAGGTTTTAAGTATGTTATCAGGTGAGTTGCTCTATATGATCCAGTTTGTACTCCATGCTTGATGAAACTTGTGTTGGGGTGCTCTGATGCAAAAATTCCCCCAAACAAGGACCACTAGTTGAGGTACTGAAAAGGGGTAACTTAAATATTTAACATGAAATAGATAAGACAAAAACCTCACTCCAAACAAATTAATTGTTCCAGTCAAAATTGATTTGGGGGTGATACAAAATGCGAAGTCAACTGGCATAGCCTAAGCCAGAAAGCATGTTGGACCAAAAACATTGATGTCAATTTCTAATGGCCAAAACTGCATTCTAAAATTCATGGAGTTGTCAAATCTTTTGAGATGCGTGGAGCCACATTAAGGACATTTGTTGATGGTTGAGTCACTTGTTAGACTAGGAGTGTCATAGGAGAGACTCGCTCAGCAAGTGGCATGGCAGGAGGATAGACATACAAATCCACCACAAGAACATTTTCTGTGCAAAGCCAAAATATGTCTCCCAGATAATAGGAAACACACTTCCAAGCGAAGTGGAATGCATTACCCATTTGAATCCTTGCAGAAAACATCGGCTTGCGTTTCCGAAACAAAAATATCTACATACATAGGTGTTTACCGCAACAACAAAACTATCTAACACAAATTATCAGTTACCTCCACTGAAACTCTTTAATGATATTGGCCTGCAAGAGAGCTCAAGAAAATGAAATCAGTATACTCTCCACCAGTGATTTAAAAATCGACGAGTCGCAACGGACTCACCCGAGTCGGCACGGGAATCGGTAGCCCCGTGCCGATTACTTTGTAAAACAGGGAATCGCCCAGTTCTAGAACAAAACTGCTGGTTCTGAACAAAAAACAATCAGTATGACGTCATACACCGGTGAGAACTGGCCCCGTATAACGTCACATATCGCCGATTCTCAATAATATGTGGCGACCCATGGCAAAATTTCATCCATGTTGGCGACACGTGGCAGCAAACTTTCAACCCGCCCGCGATGCCCCCCTCGCTTTCACTCATGCGCTTAGATGTATGTGACAAAGCCATTTATATGTATAAATGTAACTCTCATTCTTCGATGTGGGATAATTCCCAAAAACAATTGAATAAGTATTATTAATATGGAAACTTTATACATATGCCGCGACGTGGCTTTATGGTTATCACTCCTACTTACCTCTTAGACATTTGAGGTTCGAATCCTAACCAGCGTGTAATTTTATTTAATTTTTGTTGTAAAAAGCAGAAAATAAAGTCGTTAAAAAAAAAAAAAAATTATTCCATTTGAAATCTCTCTCTTTCTACTAACAATCTCTTTTACTAAATTTATTCTAGAAATCTAAAAAATTACAATTTTGAAAATTTAAAGTGTTATTTCGAAAATTGGTAGACATTCTAATAATTTCTATATTGATAATCAAATCTTTTATTTTATTTATTAATTTTTGCATTATAAATTATGTAATGTACTATTTTTCTTACAGTTATCAATAATACATTTTAAATTTCATGTTATAAAATATTTTAGATTTGTTATTATTTGAATAATAAAATAACTATAAAATATAAACAAAAAATTTTAATTTCAGTATATAATATTATAGTTAGTTAGGTCGTAATAATTTTGGATTATAGTTAGTTAGGTTGTAATAATTTGGGTTTTCCTCCAATTCGAGATTTTAGTGGCCATTTTTTCATCGATTTAATCTACTCTTTATTGTAGTTCATGTATGATTATATACTTTGCCTCTGATAATTCTATGATTTTTCTTTTGTGTGATGTAAATTTAATAGTTAGCATAAGTTTATACAGGGAAAGAACATCTCGATATTCACAAATTGATGAAAAAAATGAAAGTTAACAATGTAGTACCCTCATTTCTTATTGGATTCCTAAAAGACAACATTTATAATGAATTTTAATAATTTTTTTGGATTTTTTTTAAAGCTTAATCTGACCAAGTCGGCCAATTCTCGATCCGGATGGGTTTTTGAAGTGTCCGATCCGGGGCACCGATCCATTTTTTAAACCACTGCTCTCCACATTAGATGTCCCAGCATAAATTCTCTGGGAAATGACAGGATGATAGTAGAAATCCTCTAGGTAACGACAAGATTATATAAGTATGATTAATTGAATAGAACCTTAAACAACAACAATTACAAAATTCTGGAACAAAACCTTGCATGAAAACCATGCACCTGGTTAATATCAAGTCAACGAGGTAACATTTTCCCAAGTTTCATATGGCACTTGAGATTTAGAGCCAACATGAATTCGTAAAAAGTGAGATGCAAGTTAATTCAAGCGGAAGGTTCAAAAGGGCAAGGGATAGGATCAAAAGGACATGGTTGAAAGTAGTGAGAAAAGATACGGGGACTTATTGCCTCACTGAAGATATGACATTTGACAGAGCAGAATGGTGGATCAAGATTCGTGTAGCCGACCCCAAATAGTTGGGAAAAGACTCTGATGATGAATTCGTAAAAAGTCATAGCTATCAACACATGCAAACACTTGAGATTTGATTAAAGAGAAGAAAATATGACAAACAACGGTAAACAAAGCACTAAGCACCACATTAAAATGATTCAAATTACCTAAAGCAGAGGACAATTCTGTAGGGATAATCCTAGTAATGGAATACTAGAGTGGCAGGGGCCAAAACGGGGGTTTTATGACCAAAAGCAAAAAGGAAGAAACCAAGATCTATGGGTTGTAACAATTTGGGTTGTCCTCTTCATAGGAGATCTCAATAAGTGGAAACATTGAATAAAATTCCCAGGTCATTTAACTGTGTCAAAATCTTGAGGAACTTGAAGGAGAAAAAGCTATTTTCTTATATTCCTCACTTCATCGTTGACACCTCAACTGTGTAATACTTAGCTATGATTAACCTATTGAAAATAGCAATAGAATAGAAATCATGTCAGTGAGCAATGATGCAACCACACCTAAAGGCCCCCATGATGTTTACAATACCAGTCACTCTCAAGACTAAAAATATTTACATACCACTGCAGTTAAAGCCTCTAAAGGCATACAATAAAAGTTTCTACATTGCACAATATACAGAACTTCTTGATGGCCAGACAGTTCATTCCACATTATTGCTCACAAGTGATAAAAGCATTACATCAGCAGTAACTTACTGATAAGACAAAAAAATGGTCAACAATAAGTTCACCATTTCACATTACAGCTAGTGATAAAAGTTCTATGTCAACAGTAAATAACTAGTATTACATATCAATGACTAAAATATTGTTTAAAAATGGTCGCAATGATGTTAAGAAATGAGACTTGGCAAATCAAAGGAGATTAACAATTTTTCAAGCATAACGCAAGATAAAACTTCAATCTAATTACTGAAAAAAAGTATGACAATTACCATCACCTTGTAAAAGATTTAGAGTACTGCAATGAAAAAGCTAATCAATTAATCTAAATTCCACTGACCATGTCCCGAGCTTCTAAGCACTCGATATTCTGTAATAGCATGCCGTGCTGACTTGTTTTTGGAATCTTCAGAGACAGTAATTCTTTCAGATTTTCCATCGTCCAGAAGCAACTGACGCATTCGAAATGGAAATTCTAAATTAGTCAAACGCTGAGTACGTTGTGAGTAAAATGCCAAATGAGGAACTCTAAAAATCTAAAAATAAGATCACTAAACAGCCTATATATGAGACCCCAAAAGAATGGGAGTTCAATAGTGTGATATGGATTGAAAGGAAAAGAATTAACCCATGTTAAATTTCATATGGACAGGCAACGACTGCAAATTAGTGAAAGTACATTCAAAACACCCAGAGTAACCACCATTTTCCAATAGTTTCAATATTCTTCAAATTTTTGGGAATGCCAATTTGTTTTTGAGAATTGTTAACATATTATTACTAAAAAGTGTACGTCCATGAAATTTCAATGCTGCAAAATGCCATTTAATTCCAAAAACACTAAATGTTGCAAAAATTATCTGTATGTCCATGAAATTTCAATGTTGGCATAGCTCCAGAATATGTTATATCTTAAAATGGACCAGTTGCACCTGAGGACAAGAACCAAAAAGTTGAGGAAACAATTTCCATGTAGAGCAACAAATAAAGGTACCTTCGATAATGGAGCAGAAATCAAGCCCTCGCTAGGTTGTGGATTCCCAATAACCAGTGCCCAGTACTTCCTTTTCAAGATTATTTTGGAATTTTTGATATCCTGAAGGTTTTCAGCATGGAATTCCAGGTCGGCATTCATAAGGGCAAAGCTAAGTAACATTGTATCTCTAGATAATAAACAAGTACGCATCTCTGAGCTCTATGATCAGAATACGATCTTACTACATTGAAGGATGCTCCACAAGTTTTATCACGGAAGATGGAATGCAAAAGAGTAGTGCTTTCCTGTGTCCTTCCCATGACTAAAATGCCACTACTGTCTTGGTCCAGTCTGTGCACCTAGTATAACATTCAAAGAAATCGAATGTCAAATTTGAAATCTCAAAAAACTACAGAACCAAGGCAAACAATTATGGATCTCCAGTTTCTCATCCAAAGCACAATTTCAAATGAATTGAGAATGTATCACGAGGAAAATTCATAAATGAGAATCTTTACAGAATATCAAAATATCAGAAAAACAAAAGAATAAAGGAATTAATGGAAAAGAATGCTCCAAAGTTAATGGGTAAAAATAGGAACCTAGCTAATACTACATCAGAAGTCCTGACACATACACCTTGTTGAAGGCTCAACACAATCTCTTCTAGATTCTTTTTTTCAAATAACAGGTAATTTATGAATACTAAAGATAAAACAGTGCGCAACAAGAGGAAAGTCTTGTTTCTGGACAATGCCACGAAATATTCTAGAGAGAGAGAGTTTCACGCTAGTAATCTACAAATAATAAAGATAAATTAATGTGCAACAAAGGGCAAGTCTCATGTGTCAAGACAACGCAACTTTTATAGAGGGGGACAAACAGTAATTCATTATAAGTAGTGGAGAGGGGGCAGAAAGACCACACAGGAGTCTATATTGAAGAGGTTCATGTGGATCCTCCCATTAAATCATAGTATATTTCCATCATGGGAAAGAAAATTCATGTTAGCAAGACTGTCAGTTGCTTGTTATTGTTCTTGATGGATGTTTGAGCCATGCTGTTGAAAACTCTAACTAGTATCGGAAGGTGTTCATCATAAGAATTTGCAGACTCCATGGGGGTTTTACGACGCCATAAAAATTTCAATGCCTACCTTGAGTTTCCTAACTTCACAGCCCTATCGGAAGGTGTTCATCATAAGAACTAGATTTGATTTTAAAACAAGCAATAATTCTTCCTCCAATAATAATTTTGAATTTTGGGGTCTGCACCATGTGAGGTTAAATGTGAAGTTTATTTGGAGTGTCGAATTCATAGGTTGAGCTTACCTTCTAGGAAAACAACAATTGTATATCTAAGGTGTCCAACAACTTGTGATTCATAGTTTATTTAAGGACGAGGCTTGTATCTTGTTGAAAGACTCTCTTGCAACATATCCATATGTGCCAAAAAAACCTATGGATCAGCAACCACTTGAACTCCCTCCTAAAAGAATAGGGAAGTGTGTCTTGTAACTTCTTTTGCTCAATATTCTTGGTGTTGGCCAATTAAGGTTGTTACGCTAATAACTTTCATGCTAATGGAAAACCTAGTGTTCTAGATGTATGTTTTACCAATTGCCTCTTGATGTGTTTTTACCAATTGTCTCTTGATGTGTTTTTGTACATAATGTGAATAGATGAACTACTTTGATGCTAATATATGGTATGGGCCATAGGAATTGGCTGGTCCACACTGGAATTTGTTCAATAACTCAATTTGAGGATGTTGTGGTTGTCGATTTCCTCACATGTTATCGTTCCCATAATGAGCCAGTAACTGGTGATTGAGTCTCAAATTTGCTTAATCGCACAACACGTACACATCAGACTGGCGCGCTTGGCTCAATAAAACCTGAGCCCATGCCCCTAAACCTGGGTCAGTAGACTAAGCATGAAATATAGGCCAAAATGTTCAGGCTAAGGCCTAGGACATGGTCAATGGCCAGGTTTTTATTTAAAGTGCAGTTTAAAAAAATGTCCAAAAATTTCAAAGAACGACTTCAATGGGATTGGAACCTAATTAATGACTAGCACGCATGCATAACCACCAATAAAGCCTCAACCCACTAGTTGTAAGCTATTTTACATCTAACTTATAAAAATAGATACATTCTCAAAAAAAAATAAAAAATAAAAAATTATAAAAATAGATATAATGTTCATACACACACACAAACACATATTACATAGACTAGCAAAAAAGTAATGTATATAAAAGTCTCTCTCTCTCTCTCTCACATATCAAATCCAATCTTTCTTTCCTAGCCACAAACGTAGGCCTCTCTCGCTTGCTCGCACATGTCCCCTAACACACCAAACTAGCCCTCTCTCTCGCAACACAGAGCCAAATCCTATTAGTCTCTCTCCACATAGCCAATACTACGAGTCGCTCTCTCCTAACCACAAATAGGGCTCGCATTGGGCCTACCGCTGCTGTGTAGATAGAGAGAAGAGCTTTTAGGGGGGCCGGGGGGAGAGACAGAAACAATTAGGATTTGTGTAGACTAAGAGAGCGAGAGAGAGAGAGGACTCGCTTTGTATAGAGAGAAACTGGTGGAGTTGGCTCTATGTAGAGTGAGAGAGAGATATATTGGAGAGAGTGAGATAGAGAGAGCTACGTATATGTGCTAGAGAGATATCTAATTTTGTAATTTTGAAAAAGAGAGAGCTAGGTTAATGGGTTAGAAAGGGAGACAAATGGTTTTGTAGTTCGTTAAGAGAGATTGGTTTTATGTGTAAAAGAGAGGACAGGTTTTATATAAGAGAGAATCAAATATCGGGTTATTTAAGAATCAAATATCGGGTTATATACATATATCAAAAGAACAATAGCTTACCATTAGCAGGTTGGAGCTTTAATATTTAGTGTGCACGCATGCTAGTCACTATTACTTCCCATCCAACCCACTTCTAACTTATGCATTTTCTAAATTCCATTAAAGAAAACCTCAGGAATCGAGATCATTAGCCAAGGCTAAGCGTGGTGTATGTACATGTCTTGTGATTGAGCAAATTTGTAACTCAGAGTCACGAGTGACTCTTGACCCATATCATATAGTAGCATTCGAACTATTATCAGCTCTATTCACACTTTTTATGAGAACACATGAAGAGATAATGGGAAAACATACATCTCAAGAAAATTAGGATTTCTAAAAACATGAATATCATAAGCATAATGGCCTAATCAGCCCAAACCAAGCATACAAAGCTAAAAAAAATGCATTCGTAAGACACAATGTTCTTATCCTTTAGCAAAGAAACCTTAAGTGGAAGTAGGTCCATAAGTTTTTCTTGACACAACAAACAAGCATGTCCTAAATTAAAATGTGATTCATAAGATTTTGGGATATAACTGTTGATTTCCTAGAGCGTAGATTCAGCCCATGAATTTAACACCCCATATAAGCTTACATCCAACATCTCTATGGTACAAACCCCAAAATACTGAATGTTACATAGAGGTAAAACTGTTGGCGGTTTTGAATCTCTGCTTTGATGAGGCTGCAACTAATAGTAAAATTGCAAGTAGATGCATCTAAGAGCAAGTGTTGAGAAACCATTTGTTGCAAATTAAGAGGCTCATGTGACTGCACATGCAATATGGTTAAGATATATACACAGCTTGAAGGAATAGTTTAACATAAATCTGGACATACAAATACTATAAAATCAATGAAACTCGAGGTATGGATTGAAATTGTTATCGCATCTTAAAACCACCATAGAATCCGCACACTCTTGTAACAAACACCTTTCAGTATTACCAGAGTTTTGCAAAGCGTGCCCAATTGACAATCTAGCTATCATAGATCTTGTTTCCTCCATTAGCAATATACTCTGATTTAGTGATGTGAGTGTTGTAGGGTATTTTTTCGACACTTATATCCCCGGTGCGAATAAGAAGAAAGCTAGTTGAGACCTAGGCCTACAGGTACCAAAATACATATTCACTACGGAAGCACTAATAGAATAAACCCTGATCTTGATTGAATTTTGAAAGGTGTCAGATTGGTCCCACAAGGCATGGCGGGGTGGCATTTGACTCTCTAAGAACACCTGCCTAGTTTTGTCGTAATCAGACGAAGTTAAAGCAGATCAGACAGAAAATCAATTTTCAAATTCGGCTCCTAGCATGATCAAAAAGTACCTCATAATTACAGCCCTATTATCGGGGTCTCAGATATGTACCAGACTGCATCAGAAGGTCCGAAAACCCCCAGATACCAAACGTCAGCTCATTCGGATACTTCTTGACCATTCAAGTGGTTGTATCATGAAGCCCCGGCCTCAGATCGTCTCGAAAATAGGTTTGTTGCGACCGTGACATCGAGGGCTTCGATTTGAGGTAAACATCACATGTGATGAAAGACCAAAGATGTCGTATTTTGAGGTTGCAACAAGGAATATTTTCCGGTGACCGAAATCCCATAGTCCAGCAACTTCCCCAATTCGGAAAGTGATGATCCAGCAACCAAATCGACCCATTTTTATCACAAAATGATCACGACGGCTTCCCCATCATACTATGATGAAAAGATCGACCCAAACAATCAAGAAACGAACAAGATCAAGCATTCAAGATTGCCAGGATTTCAAGAAGGGTTCGAAACCTCGATTCAATGATCAAATCATATACCAAAATGATCGTCTCGCCAAGACCATCACTTTTACGATATTATTTTTGCCAAAAGTTTGGTCAAGAGCCTGAAATAGGCCCCGAATGATCACCATAGCCTATGGTGCCTTTTTGGGGGACCATCTAGTCGTTTCCAAGATTCTGAGTGGGGGCAAAGTGGTCATTTTGTCCCAAAAAGGTTTTAATTCACAAAAATTATAATTTTTTGACAATTTGGCTTTCTTTTGATCACCCACCCTTGTTTCAAGGGAATGATATATAAGCACCTTATGCTTATTTGTAGCCCTAAGTTTTTAGAAGCTTGAGAAAGTTGAATGTAAGTTCAAAAAGTTAATGAAATACATTGAGCGTGTGATTTTTTACTCTATCTCTTCACGTCAAAGAGAGGAGAGAGAAAACTTTCACTCATTGAGGACTACCCCTAGAATCTCTCACTTCCAACTTAGAACTTCCCACTCCCAACCTAGAACCCTTTACCTCCATCTCTCTTAATCCCTATTCCCATACACCCTAGTCACATCTCCCATAGTTCCTAACCCATACACCCTAGACGTACCTTCCATAGTCCCTAGTTCGTAAGCCTTAACCCTACACCCTTACTTCAACATCAAAGCACCCAACCCACCTTCAAAGATACACCAAGAAGGCTAGGACCAACCTAGTCCCCCGGTACGGA